TATGATATTTTATTTAATATTACTATCATAATAATAATAGTAATATTAAATAATATGTTTTATGAAATAAACAGTTGATGCCTCATATCTCGATTTCAATCTCCGCCGAAGATCCAATCCCCCAAACACTCTCTGTAATTCCATCGCCATTGACGACCTCCGCCAATTGCACCTTCGAGATCCCCTAGCCGGCCCTCTTATTCTAGTCGTCATCGGTTCAATTTCTTCACTCAGTGCATTCGAAACGACTTTTCTGCATTTGTTGAAATGGGAGCCGTGCCTTCTACACCGTGCTGGGGCAGTAGAAGCAGCTTCGCGCCGCGCCCACTTGAAACGGCGGAGTACCTTATTACTACCTTCATCAGCTTCGCCGCGCGCCCACTCTGCTCCCTGCAACCCAGTAACCCGATTCCACTCCTCCCTCGCTCTGCTCCCCGCAACCCAGAAACCCGATTCCACTCCTCCCTCACTCGCCGCAAGGTTGTAAGAAAGACCTCCCCGCCGCAATCTTTCTTTGCGAATTTGTGGTTTCTCAGAACACGCAATCTTCCTTTGCTAATTCTGATTTAGTTTCAAGCACATTTGAGTATAACAACTTTGGTTAATTTGTGATGATAGCAGTCTAGGTCTCTCCTCCTGGAGACCCTTGTGGGTCTCTGGTGGTGACGATTCAGATCTTCACGGGGAGGGACGAGGTAGATTCACAGTGAGGGCGACACAAATCTTCAAAGATCTTTAGTAGAGATGAAGCTGGGAGGAGCAGAAAGGAGATGATAAAGATTAATGGAGGGTAGGATTGCCAGAAACTTTCATTAAAGGGTCATTGTTCATTCTTGTTTTAGCGGTTTGCGTAGAAGCTTAAAAGCCAGGTTTTCAAAGATGTCTTTTGCCATTTCTGTTTTTTGACTTTTTTTTTCACCTAAAATTGTGAAAAAAGGCTAAAGTTGGAAGTTTACCAAACACAACAATACCTCCAGCTTTTTTATACTAGTTTTTTTGAAAATCACCTCAACTCCAAACCATACCTAACCCTAATTAACAAGTTTTTTTTTGAGATAGGAAGATAATCGATAGGAGTATTACGTGCACACCAACTCGATCAGAGATAAATTCATGTGTTAGCTTAGTCACATGCATGGTTCATAACATTTTTTTTTTCAACCGGATTGAAATTCTCGACAAGATATTTATCGAGGTCCATTGTATGCACCTCATCCTCATGATTGTACATATTCTCTTCTTTAATGGAGATCATACCTTTTTTCCCCAAAAAGGAATAAAAACAAAATTATTACAAGGTGAGCACATTGATTAATGTATGGTTTTAGTTAAGGAGGTTTTATTGAATCATTAAGGACTTGTTTGAAAAGGTTTTTAAAATTATTGTAAACGTTTTCTAAAAAAAAAAAAAAATTTAGTTTCAAAAGCACTTCCAAAGGGGTAGTTAAAAATAAGTTTTTTTACTAAGTATTGGTTCCAAAAATATTTTCACCAAAAGCGTTTTCAGTTATGTTAGAAAAACTTCAAAACGAGGACTAGGGCTTGAAAGGGTAATCGTTTAATATGATCCTTGTGATACAATGCATGCTTTTGTAGTGCTTTTTATTCTTATATCTCACTCCTCATGTTAAACAACGTAACATCGAGATAGATAAGTTATTTTCACCTTACGTGCAAAAAAGATGCTTTAAATTTTTTTTTTTTAACAAATGATATTATTTAGACTAGGAAGTTAGAGGAGCAATAAAATGCTTTAAATTAAACTTGAGTGTTATCACAATTCTTCACATAAAATGAGACCCATAACATTATAATGCGCTTATAACACACAACAATCACGATATATTCACACATAAACATGTGATTTTCCTAGTAGTATTTTATGTGTGTGTGTGTGTGTGTGTATTAAATTATGAATGCAATCTACCATTGAAGCAATTCATAATCTTTTCCAACAACTGAAAGTGACAAGAGAGAAAGAAAAAGAGAAACTTATTCAACCCAAAATTAATATCTGTAACCCTAAACACTGTTGTCAACTGCCATATCAATATTTCTCGTACTAATTTTTTTCCCCAATCCTTATCTCTCTTGAACTTTGGACTGATACCTAGGAATTGATATCTTTCATCTTTTGTACACAATCACCGTGTCATCAAGTTTGTAAAGTCCATCACCCACGAAAATCCCTAGAAATTAACCAAAACCCTAATTTAATTTTCTATATATAGGCATCGAAAATTCTTTTTTTTTCCCTGCAGAAAATTACAGTGGACTCATGTGCACCCTCTAGGACTCCATGAAGCATATGATCCCTTTGTAATATGTGGATGACTCTTCTGAAATCACTAGGTGCAATCCATGTGAACCCATCTCACACTTCACTTTACCCAAAACAAAATCTCACACTTTATTGACTAGGTATTTATATAATTCTTCTTATATTATTATTGAGGAGCTGAGTGAGTCTCTCAGTCTTTCTGTGAGAAAAATTGTGCAAAAATTCAAACGCTGATTTCTGTCACAGTGTTGTGTAGTGTTGGATGCAAAAGTTGTTACTGCAACTTCCCAACTGCTTCTCTTTGTTTTATAGCTTTCGGCAATGTTTATATGGACGCAGAGCATCTACATGTCCTTTGCCCCCTCTCACTTCCCCAAATTAGGGGGCAACCCCCACCTAAGTCTTGAGAAGTTGACAAATTTTCAAGCCATTTCATGTGAAATAAACTCCCAAGTCCCATTTGATCTTATGATAACTTTTGAAAAAGTACACTTTATATGTGAGTTTACACGTATTGTAACTTGAGTGAATTTAATACATCACATTAGCATGCATGTATGTCACAAAGCATCTAAGCAAAACTTATGAAGAGTCTTGTTGACATTTTTTTTTGGTTTCCCAAGGTATCCCCAGGCAAAGCCCATGACTAATCCTTCGAGGTACTGTCGGGCGCATATGCGGGGACCTCTCCCAAGAAAGTTTTCTGCATCCACAAGGGCTCGAAACCGAGACCACTTGCTTAAGCGACCAGAGCCCCTTCCACTCTGACCAACCTTCATTTGTCTTGTTGACAAATTTTTCAATATGACCTTCACCCCAAGATTGAGTTATAGTACAGTTTGAGTTTAACAGCTTATATTATAACAAGTCATATATAACACTATGTCATGATATGATTGTCACATATTAAAAGTTGAGAAACGTGCACAAATAGAACTTGTAAAAAAAAAACATTTAATTGAAAATAACAATTTAAGGCACTCTTACTATTTGTTCTGGTGTCTTTTAGTAATATTTTAATTGAACATTTGTAATGGATTTTATTTGTGTATAGTTCTCTTAAAAATTTTCGTTATTTGCCAAATAAAGTACTAACAATCTTGATAAAAGATGATATGTATTAAAATAAATAATTAGTAACTGATTCTAACTAAAAAGTTATGTCACTCAATGGTAGGCAGTAGAAGTTGAAATGCCTCTATAAGTGTTCTCAGCTCCTGAAAGAGTAGGTTGCCGTGGCGAAGTTAGCAATTAATTTCTTTCTTATTTTTTTGGGTTCTGTAGATATAAGCCCATGCAACACTTATTTTCTTGACAAAAAACCCATCTCGTTTTAAACATCCAAATAAAACCCAAATTTGAAATAAACTGCCATGTAAACAAATAAATACCTATTATTTTCAAAATATTTACAATTGTGCCACAACACCCTAATTATGTTGATGAATTTAATTATCCACCATAATTATGGCAAATAAGTGATTTATTATTACAAAAGTATCTACTTTATACTTGCATTGCCATCATATGTTCCATTTCTTAAATTTGAAATAAACTGCCATGTAAACAAATAAATACCTATTATTTTCAAAATATTTACAATTGTGCCACAAAACCCTAATTATGTTGATGAATTTAATTATCCACCATAATTATGGCAAATCAGTGATTTATTATTACAAAAGTATCTACTTTATACTTGCATTGCCATCATATGTTCCATTTCTTATATTTGTTTGACAATCATTGTAGGTAAATTATTTTTCATGTATACATTAGGCACACTTCGTTATTATTATATTTGTGTGAAATAAATTACCTATATTTTTAAGTAGAATATAGGTAATTAATTAACTTTGAATCAATTGGCTAAAAACATCCTTTTATTTTGTAGGTAAATAATTTTGCATGTATTATTACATATACTAGGCACATTTGTTATTATTATGTGTTGTTTGCAATCAATCAACATTCATTTATACTGTAGGTAAATTACAAAAGTATCTACTTTATACTTGTCTTACCATCATCTGTTCCATTTCTTATATTTGTTTGACAATCATTGTAGGTAAATTATTTTGCATGTATACATTAGGCACATTTTGTTATTATTATATATGTGTGAAATAAATTACCTATATTTTTAAGTAGAATATAGGTAATTAATTAACTTTGAATCAATTGGCTAAAAACATCCTTTTATTTTGTAGGTAAATTATTTTGCATGTATTACATATGTTAGGCATGTTTTGATATTATATATATATATATATATATATATATATATATATATATATATATATATATATATGCGTATGCAAATAACTTAATTAACTTTTGAATCAAATAGTATTTATTTTTTTATTTTATAGGTAATTTTTTTGCATGTATTATTTTACCTGGAAGTTATATTGTTATTTTATATATGTAAAATATTGGTAATTTTGAATAAAATAACATTTGTATATTTGTGAAAAATACTAATTTACCTGTTACAATTATTTGAAAAGGGAAAAAAAAGCTCATTTTTACATAAATGTGAAAACAACTATATAAGGAATCAAAACTCTAATATCATGTCATTTTTGTTATTAATATGTGACACACCCCGACCGAGATCGAGGCATGCTGGCCGTCATGTGAGGGTGACATAGCCATGTGCACAGTGCGGAAGCAATAAGGATAAGAAATATATGAATAAATAAAAACTGAAAGTTACTACTGTGTACTAATATGCAGAAAATGCTAAGAGTGAGATACATGAGTAAATACTTCTAATCAGAGCATAGAAAGTCTAGGTACAGTCCAGTAGGACAAGTACTAGTTATACAGTACCAGAAGATATCCTACGAATATTTTATTTTGTTAGAACCGCCGAGATCCTCAATGCCTCCATCAGCAAGTCTACCTAAAACCTGGAGGGGCGCAAAATAAAAAATATGTGTGGGTAAAAACAAATGTTTTGAGAACACATTTAACTTTCAAATGCTCTAACCCCTCGCCGTAAAACATGTATAATTTTTCCCAGAAATAGAATATAAACATATACACATATACATATATATACATATATATCAATTCAAATCATGCTACACATAATGATAATCATAAATGTGCCATGCCAAGATATAAACAAGATAAGTAATTCAGGTGAAAATAAATTCATGGAAAATAACACATTAGCCGGAACCCTTGCAGAAGTCTGTACGGCTGAATTCATAGCTCATTAGTTTATCTAGCCGGAGTCACTGCAAATGACCTATACGGCACTACAATGCACACAAGTCGGAACCATTGAAAAGGTCTGTATGACAAGACTGGGTGTAATATAATTATGCTCATTACTACATTCTCATTATAGCTGTGCGATAAATCGCTATTCACCTACGAGTCGGAACCACCTATAATGGTTTGTATGACAAGAATGTGCACCTAAATTGGATCCAATGTGAGCATAGGGTGCGGGAGGTGACATCATAAATAGGCCTGAACCATATCTCTGGCTAAATCACAATCACCTGGGGTGCAGGTTTATAAGCTTTCAATCACATCTCATATAATCAATATCTCATATAATAAAACATAACTCACCTGGTACCTACCTGAGCGTCCACCGCACCAATTCATATTACGCATCATATACTAATTCATATGCTGAATATACATTTATGTGCATGACATTTCAAAGCATACATTCATTTAAACGCATTTTCTGGGAAAATATCAAGTATATAAATATATACTGAAAACCAAAAGCCCACTCACTAGTATGTTGAAGGATCGTAGCCTCCGAGTCGCCCTTGACTACGCTCGTCCTCGGGATAAGTCTCCCCTACATGCGAAACAACTATAAACAGTTAATTCAAAGCACATAACCAATACTAGCTAATAACTTCTCATACATTGCTCAAATGAGGTATATGAATATACCATGGTGACCTACACAACTCCATGAACATCCCCAAATTTTTAAAATAATTTTTGGAGCCTTCACGCGCCGTCACGTGCAGGCAAGGGCACGGCCACACGCGCTGCCCACGCGCAGGCACGTGCCGTGCACATTGACAGTAACCCTAACGACGTTAGGGAATATTCCGTTAAAAAGTAGCATATACCGTTAAAACTAACCTGACGCCGTTGGAATATTCCGTCGTCTCCTTTGGTTCGCCAGACCGTCGTCATTGCCAGAAAAACTGGAAAAACTTTAAACCTTTATATCTTAGTTGTTTTTCATCCAAATTTCATGAAATCAGTACCAAATTGAAGCTTTTAACTTGTAGAACATTCCCTTACCAGTTTTAGGACCTAAAACTCACGGGATCTTGTCGGAAAAATCCACGAGAATCCGACCAAACTTAAAACTCGCCAATCTCACTTTCCCGACGTCCAATTTACTTGGTTTTTCTTCTCCGAGCTTCATAGGGATGTTTTAAAACGTCCTAAAAGCTTCAAATCACCTGAAACATCCATAATTACGACCACATGAACAGTGCATCAAATATGAGATTCTGAGTTCTCGGGTTTTCGAGGGTTTCACTTACCAAAAATGGTATAGATAAGCTCCTGGACTTGCAAGGAACACAAAAATCACTTCCCCAGCTTCGATCCGCTACTGGTTGAAGGAGTTTGAAGGTTGTCTGTACTGGTTGTACAGAAATGGAAGAAGATCCGAGGGAGGGAGGAAAGAGAAAGGTCAACTGGAGGTGTGTGTGTGGTCCAATTTTGAGTCATTAATCACCACAAAAAATTATTAACTTTAAGTTCCAACAACTTAGGAACTAACCAATTAAGTTTAAACCCAAACTTAACCACAACACCACATAACAAACTCAATGTCCAAGGGTAATTTAGACATTTCACATCATCGAAACTAATATTTTGGGACAAGATGTGACAATATGCATTGAAATCATGACACTAAAATTTTTCTTTTCTAAATCTGCATAAACATTTCAAAACGTTTAATTGAATGAAATAATATAAAATAAATGTAGATAACAAGTAATAGACCCAAAGTCAATAATATTAAGGGTAATTTAGACATCCAAAAGTACCAATTCTGCCAAGTCATACTTAATTATGGATATTGCTTAATTGGAGCCTAGTCATTGAGTTTTTTTATTAGAAAATTTTACAATTGTAGGCTTTAGTTAATGAAAATTGAATTGCAAGAAGTGCGCTCATATTTTCAGTTTTTATTTTTTATTTTTTATATGAATGAAAATGGGTGGTTCCATTTATGGTTGGAAAGGCTCCCACCTCATGGAAGTCCCTGTCTCTGCATGCCTCATTTTATGACTTGAATGGATATGCAGACCCACCGAGCATCATTTGACATATGTAGGCCCAAGGCTGTGTCTTTTGTCAAGATTCACCTGGGTAGGTTTATATAAGGTACAAAGACATTTTAACACCTTTATTTGTTCCTTTTTGTGCGGCAACTATGTTTTTTTAACCATTAGAAAAAGAAAAAGAAAAGTAAGCACGAGAAAAAGACCAAATGGTTGTTTTCAACTTTCCCAACCCTAATTTTCCATGAATACACGCGTATAAATTAGTCAATACTAAGATTGTAAGACAAATGGAGATATGATCGATGTTTATTGACTTGACTTGGAAATATTTTATCTTTTAGATTGGAACCAACAAATACGTTGAGACTACTAGTGAGATGATAATACAATTTGTTAATCATATTTTCCTTATATGATTAACAACGTAATTAGGACCTATGCCAATCCGTCTAGTTTAAAGTAATGCCATGAACCATCATGTTTAGCATACATAAAATGTGATTTGTAAAAGTAAATTATACGTCAATATACTCGTAAATTTCAAACACAATCATTATTAGGTGTAACAAATTTACTTAATTACATGTGTAATATGAAAGTAATCCGGTTCATTCATTTAATATTCCTTAACAAGTTTATATCTTACACAAAAATGAGTACTACGGATCATTAAAAAAGAATTGATGATTGTATCAACTATTAAAAATCATTGACGTGCAACTCGTATTAACATTTTCTTTTATGAGAAATTGCATATTGGGGGTGTAGAGGTGTTTCATGTTTCTTGAAAAATAAAACTTGTTTTTTTCAAATGAATTAAAGGCGAGATGATTCTTGCTTAACCCACTCTCTCATCCTTTAATGCAGATACTATCGTCTCTTAAAAAAAAAAAAAAAAAATCAAGATGATTCTCATGTTGGTGTTGTTGGTAAACGAGCTCCCAAAGCATGTTGCTCCCCTCATAAAAGAAAGAGTTGAGAAATGTGATAATTTCACGTTTAATTTCACATATTCTTTACCTTGGAGACCGACACACGCAACTCATGTGATGTTTCGTCCCTCCCAATCAATCCGATGCTCTCTTTCTTCAAACTTCAAAAATCAACCCTCCTCTTTCCAAGCTCAACCACAGAACAACCCAAAAAAGAAGGGAAAAAGTAATAAAACAGAGTAAAATATCGATTTGTAGCTTTCGGAATGCTTCTCTCGTGCATCTTCGAGACTTTGACTGCATGGTTTTGTTTTGATTTGGTATCTGTCATTAGTCAGGATAAACAGTACTAGTAGTATTACATGTACTTAGTACTACTACTCGGTCTTTCCATGCATGCATGCATGCATGATTATCTACTTTTCTTTCTTCTTTGCCTTTATTGATTAATTTGAGAGCAAATCAACACGTCTGTTGCTCTGCTTTTTATATCTTTGACGTGTCACGTTTTCTTATTGCTTTTCAATCAAATTAGACTCGATTCCATAAGGCCAAGCAGATTTCCTCCAACAATTTGTTTGAACTTTTGACCTTAAAGAACAAGAAGTCTCTAGCTTCTTCATTCCCCATTTATAAATACTAGGAGAATAAATTTACAAATTAAATAATATGTTACCAATTAAAATTAGAGTAAATTGTACAAATGGTCCCTCAATTTTAATCAAATTGGAGCAATGGTCCCTCAACTAAAAATTCATTACCATTGGTCCCTCAACTTATCAAAATGTATAGCTATAGTCCTTTTCATCAATTTTGTCAAAATTTTGTCAAAATAAGCTATATTGGAATGACCATTTATATAATTAGGGTCCCTCAACTCATCAAAGTGTATAAGTATGGTTCTTTTCGTCAACTATGTCAAAAAATTTGTCAAACGAGTTATATTGTAAGGACCATTGCTACAATTGGATTAAAGTTAAATGACCATTTCTCCACTTGAATTAAAGTTCAGGGACCAATGGTAATGGATTTTTAGTTGAGGGACTATAGCTGCACGTTTTGATAAGTTGAGGGACCAAAGGTAATGGATTTTTAGTTGAGGGACCATTGCTCCAATTGAGTTAAAGTTAAGGGACCATAGCTACAATTTACTCTTAAAATTAAACACGTTAATTAAAACTTACGTAATAATTCAATAATCAACTTTCCTGTTCTTTAGTTTACAAAATTTAGTCTACATATTTAGTCTTCATAGCGTTATCCTTTACTAAATTACAAAATGAGTAGTGTTATTCACACAATTTTTTTTTTTTTTTTACTTTTCGCACATTTTTTTTTAAAATTCTTTACTGTCAGATTGAATAAAGTGAAAAAAATTAAATGACATAAATTAACAAAGTGTGTTAGAGAAAAAAAGAGATATGTGAATAATACCACTCTACATAATATGTACTTTCCTCGTTTTGGTGTTATGGTAACTAACAACCAATCCTTATATAAAAAGTCATACACAAAATGTATTAGACATTTTATATAAGCTTGAATCAAGCATATAATATCACTCTACATTGTTTTCTTTGCCGACGTCAATGTAAATAGTTGAATGTTGTCAATTATTGTTTGAATAGTTAGTTTAGAATGACCGACAACATAGTATTATATGTTGAATCATCACACCATTGTGAACTTACATTATAACAAGTTAAAGTGGTTATACTTTATGACCATGCTTTTTTTTTTACAATGATATTTTAACAATATTTTTGTACTAAATTTTCTAACAATACAACACTCTTTTACTTCTTTTTTTTTCTTTCCGAAATACTATATTTTGTTGGAATCTCATTTAACGTAGAAGTTTTAGAACTTGAATATATAAAAGGGGACATATCTGCTATGTAGCTGTGCTTATGTATGCAAAAACTGGTCTTCTACAAAGCTTTAAATGTGGGATGTGATTTTCAATCGGATTGAATAAACCAAACGAAAGATTAAATAATTAAAGATATGTAAGAAGTTAAAAATGATGTATTATCAGTTTCCTCAAAAATTCATAAATTTCCTCTTTTTGAATTTTCATATCATCTTGCTTTTGTCCAAATTATATAGGGTTGATCATATCATATGAATTTTTGACACACCCCGACCCTAGGAGGTCGAAGCATGTTGGTCGTCACTGTGAGGTGACGTAACCATAAGGGTAAGTGATGTGAATATGTGAATAAAGTAAAACTAGAACTAGAACTAATTTAACTAAACAGTGAAAGATTGCACAGTCGTGGGAAGAACCCACTACAATTATTCAGAGCATAATAGACAGTACGACTACAGTAAGGTAGTCAAAGTAGCTAAAGCACACTTATTACACAACAGTGGATAAGTTCATACTTCTAAACAGAGATAATGTAAGAACTGCCAAATGTCCCTCGAATGCCATAGAGAGTACAACTATTTAGGTCCTGGAGGGGCGAAAAACAAAGTTGAGTGGATCAGCAAAACAACGTTTGTAAGAAAAACCTTTAATTTCAAATATAGTAACCCTTCGCTGTAAAACAAGTATAGTTTCCTTAAAACATATTACGTAAGTATGTAAACAATAGTATAATAGCAATATAGCTAGAAATATGCCAAATCATGATATATCAAATGCCACAGTAATATAATCATGTGATAATCAAGTATAATCAATTGTTCATCTATCTAAGTTGACACATGAGTTCATACAGATAATCTCTGACACGAACAGGACTAGATGTAATCAATACGCTCTAGTATTACGATCATGTGAAGGTTGGTGCAGAAGCACAGTCACAAACGAGTCGCCATTGCCTAATGCAATTTGAACGACAGGACTGGCACCTAACTTGGATCCAAGGCGAGCGAACGGTGCGGATGTGAACATACACGTGAAGGACTGGCCCTGGCCTTAGGGCGAGTACTAACACTAGGGTGCAGCAAGATGAGCATGTACAAATATACGTGAATGTCATGACAATAATATCCCAACCATATACTAGCATTTATCACAATTAATATCACAATAACGATACTTGGCAATATAAGTGTAAAAATGAAGTAAATACGCATTTATGGAAACTGTAACTATTTATAGGTATAAAAACAAACTGCCCACTCACAAATACGTCATCGAATCGTAACCCCCGATCCTTGCCTAACCCCTCAAGTCCTCAGGATACATTTCCCCTATATGTGAAATAACTATATTTAAATTAATTAAACACATATATGGAAACTTAAATAAAACCCCCATAGTTTGCTTAAACCTAGGGTTTAAATATATGAAATCGATCTACTTGACATCACGGACCTACACAAATTTTTAGAATAATTTTTGGACGCCAGACAAGCCACCACGCGCCGGCTATGGCACGGCCATACGCGGCACCACACGTAGGCAAAAACTGACGGAGGCCTAACGACCGTTAGGAATATTACGTTAAAAGGTAACATACGTTAAAGGCGTTAGAATATT